GATGGGGTAGCGCGCGCTGCCATCGGCCAGCCAGCCCGCGGCGCAGCGGTCCAGCAACTGCAGCTTCCACGCGGCGAACAGTTGCCCCACCTTGGCCACGGCCGCGCCGCGCGCCGCGCACGCGCGCGCTGCTCCCGCGAAGGGCACGGGCCGCAGAGGCTTCAGGAAGAACACGCGCCCTGCGGAGGTGGGGGTGGGGGGTTGCTTGTCAGGGAGCCTCCCGTCCCCCGCAGCCCAGGACTCCGGCCGCGGGATCCAGGAATATCCCCTCCCCTGCAGCCTGGGACCCCAGTCTCGGCCAGGGCAGTGTTGGTGCCACGTGATATTTGCCGCGCCGTGACAGTCGTGGGACGGGGTCTCCTGGTTCCGATCCCCGTGGGCTGGGTAGGGAATAGGGGCCGGGGCGGGGGTGGAGGAGAGAGGCCTGCCTGGTAGAGGGGGGTGGGTACGCACCCGGGAGGTTGGACGTGAAGCAGAAGGCATCGTAGCGCTCCTCTGCGTTGTGGCGATAGCCGTAATTGCGCACGCCCCCATTGGCTCCGCCGTCGACGCCGGTACTCCCGGCCCTGCCCAGGCCGCCGCAGGGCTCCCGGGGCTGGCTCACCGGGTACTGCACCGAGCCGTCGCGCAGCCAGCCCGCGTTGCACCAGTCCAGGCCATCGCGCCAGGCCGCGCGCAGCTGCTCGGCAGAGGCCAGGATGCCGTCCTGCTCGGCGCACGCGCGCTGCGCCTCCGCGAACGTCAGCTTGTAGCGGCCTCCACGCGGGTGGTAGGGGAAGACCACGCCTGGGGTGGGGCGCACGGGGGTCGGCCAGGGTCCCTCAGTTTGCCCCCATCCACCTGACATCTGAGGTGCCGTGTGACTCTTCAACCTGGACCTTCCAGTCCATCTCTTACTTTGGCCTCAGATCTGACCACGCCTCTCCCCAGCTCACACCCCTTATGGCTCCATTTGCTTTATGCTTGGGATTCCTTGATCCGCCCCCTCGATATACTTAATCATGTCCACACCTCTTCCACTGGTGGAGACTTTTGCTCGGTTCTTTCCACCCTTTTTCACCTGTCAAACTCCTATTCATCCTTCAAAACCCATTCCACCAGCACTGGGTCCTTCCCTCCAGCTCTGAGCCCACGGAGCTGGGAATGTGTGTATCCAGTGCTGACTTCCCCACACTGGAAGCCCCTGAAAGGTTGGCCCTGGATGAAGACCCCTGTGGTCCCCAGCATTGTTCAGGGAAGTACCCCTTGGTTTCCCTTTCACTCTGGAATTTGTCTCTCATTGGACTCACAGTCAACTCAGGAGCGTTTTGTGTGTCTGCGTTTGAAGGGCAGGGCTTGGGGTGAGCTGGGTACTCTCAGCTGATGCAGAAAAGAGGCAGACAGGGGTCAGGGAGAAGACCTGGAGCTTAGCAGAGTGGGGATTGAATCCCAGCTTTGCCACTCACTAACTAGCATGTGCCCTGGGCAAGGCTCTCACCTCTCTGAGCCAGTTGCCTATCTGCTCCTAATAACTGTCTCCCTGGAGGGTTGGGGAAGCTCCTGGGAGCTCTTCAACTAAGCACCTGTCACATAGAAAATGCCCCGTAAAGGAGAGCTGCTGCTATTACTGTTGTTTGTTATTATTAGGGCCCTGAAATCTCTCCCAAAATCTTCTAAGGTGTACTGAGGAAGACAAACCCCTGGGAGAGAATTCTTCAGATAGAAACCCCACCTCCCGCTGGATGGTCAGCCAATCAGAGCATCCCCTATCCCAGCCACAGTGATTGGCCCACAAATGGGCACATGATTCAAGCTGGCCCAATGAGAGGCAACTCTGGGACTCTAGCTGCTGCTCCTAGAAAAGCAGTTGCTAAGTAGAGGGTGGAAACCTGGCACTACGTTTTTAGTTGCATAAGGGGAAAACTTGCCAGAGGAAAGCCCACTCAGGAAGCAGAGATGAAGGACGGGTTCCTGACATGGTGCAAGTGCCTGGATCTCACAGTACCCGAACCCCACCACAAAAACTTGCCAGAGGAAAGCCCACTCAGGAAGCAGAGACGAAGGACGGGTTCCTGACATGGTGCAAGTGCCTGGATCTCACAGTACCCGAACCCCACCACAACATCCTCACTATTGACATTTTGGACCGGATCATTCTTTCTGTGGGGGACTATCCTGTGCCTTGCAGGACATTTAGCAACATGCCTGGCCTCTACCCACTAGATGCTAGTAGCAACCCCCTTCTCCAAATGTGGTAACCTAAAACGTCTCCAGACATTGCCAATGTCCCTGAGGAGCAAAATCACTCTGAATCAGATCTGGGTGCTCTACCCTTCCCAGCCTCTAATTTCTTCAGGCCGACTTGGTTTCTGTCCCTTGCTATCCCCCCCTTCTCTCCTCCCTTAGAAGTGAGTCTCATCTTGCCCATGAGCTGGTCACCTTCCAGGTCCAGCTTGACCATGCCAGCGTCATCTTCTAGCTCGTTGGTGACCTCACATTCGTAGCGGCCGTAGTCCTGCAGCGTGACGTTGCGGAGAACCAGGGAGGCATCCCCTGGCCCATCACCCTGCAGCTCCGCCCGCCCGCGATAGCTGCCGAATGCCCGGTGCTGGGGGCCCAGCGCCACGAAGACGTCGGTGAAGGCTAGCGGATCGACCACCTTCGTCCACTTGAGGCGGACGCCGTCGTGGCCGTGGGCTGCTGCCTCATAGTGGTAGCGACAGGGCAAGACGATGGTGCCACCCCGGTGGCTTACCACCTGCCCTGGCGCCGTCTGCACTACCACCGAGCCCGACTCTCCCTCTGTGGGTGACCAGGCAAGGTTCAGAGAGGGGGCCTAGGGGAAGGCAGGGGACCCTGGGGAGGGGACATGGGAAGAAGACTTGGGTGCGGGGTCAGGGTATCAGAAGAATAAAAGGGCTCAGGGAGGGGGGCAGGGGCTTACACGGGGAGGGGATGGGGGGACCTTGGCCATCAGCAACGCCCTCCCCCTACCCGCTCTGCGCACCCAGGTGATCGCTCTTGGCCATGGCTCCTGCGGGGGCAAGACCCGCTTCCGCGGGCCGGACTCACCCAGAACGTGCACGATCTTCTTCCGGCCGCGCTGCGCCCCCGCGGGGACCGTGAGCAGCAGGACTCCCCAGGCCGCGGCCCAGAGCGCGCCGGGACCGAGGGCCGCCCGAGCGCACACCTGCGGGCACAGGCCGCTCGGTCCAGCCTCCCAGTCTTCGCCTTGCGGAGGAGTGGCTCCCTGGCTTTCCTTCCCGGCGGTGAGGCCTCTCACGCGCTCAGGCCCCCAGCCCAGCCAGGGTTCCAGAGGACTCCCCCAAAGAAAAGGCTGGCAACCCCCTCCCCCTCCTCCGCACCCTCCCCCCTGCGCGAAGCCCACGGCCCTGGACTCGCCCTCCCCTAGTCCTGTCCCGGGCACCCTCCTGACCCCTTACCCCCACCCCCGTGGCTCGGAGCCCCGCCTCCTTCTCTCTCAAGCCCGGCTCGGGATTGGGGGCGGGGGGAGGAGGGAGGAGCCGGAGCGCCGGCGACAGCAAGGTTATCCGTGCGCCAGGAGACTGCAGCAAACGGGGCCGGGGCGGGCGAGAGGGGGCGGTGACAGACCCAGAGAGAGGCGCAGACAGAGGGCGAGAACAGGGACAGAGAAGGGGAAAGAGACAGAGATAGAGAGAGAGACAGAGGAGAGAGTGCGAGAGGGAGGAAGGCAGAGACGGAGAAGGAGAGACGGGGAGAAAGAGAGAGAGAGAGAGAAAAGACACCCCCTCCAGAAAAAAAGAGGGGGGTGGTGGTGGAAAGAAAGGTAGGAGAGACGGAGAGGTATAGAGAAGGAGACGCAGAGTGCCGGGAAAAGAGAGATACGAGAGGGTGAGGGACAGACAAGAGGACGGAGAGACGGAGAGACTGAGGACACGAACACGAGGGATGCAGATGATGAGGGGGCAAAGGCAGAATCCCAGATCGGGGAGACCAGGGACCGACTCGCCCGCGCCCGGGCCCCACTCACCATCCTGCCCGCGCGGCCCCCGCCGAGCAGCCCTACGCTCCCGGACTGCGCTCCCCGCGCACCAGGGAGGGACTGGCAGGTGCCTGCCGGCGGCGCAATCCCGGAGTCTGCCTGCAAGGGGAGGAGGGAGGCGGACGGGGGGCGGGGCGTTAAAGGGAACGCGGCGGCACGCGCGGGACGGAGAGGTGGCCCCGGGCGCGGGCAGAGCCAGGTCCTTGCCCCCGCTGGCTGACCTTGGGCCAGCGGAGGAACCTCTCTGGGCCTCAGTTTCATCACCTTTAAAATGGAGGAGGGGGGCCTGATGGAGTCGGGAGTCTTCCATCTTGGAAACCCTGCGTTGTTACGGCGATTGGGTGATCTGATTAAAGGGCTTGGCCTGCAGGCCTCAGTTTCCCCATCTGACCACTGAATGACCATCGTGGAGTCCCAGACTCCAGCACCCCAACAGTGTTCACTCTGCAGAGTGGAGGCCCACAATAATCACACTCTGCAGAAGGGAACTAGAGAACAGGTCCAAATCCGACTCTGCCCCTCACTGGCTGTGGGACTTTGGGGCAGACGGCCAGTTGGCCTTTCTGAGCCTGTTTCCATCTCGAGGAAATGGAGTGCTGATCTTTTGGTGAAGATCCAGTAACTAGACATATGAGAGTATGTGTATGTGGAAAAATAGTATTGAACGATAATACAAATCTTCCACGAACTTTTTGAAGTACCCGCTTACAATAGGTACCTGGTAAGTATTCGCAGGGGAGTCTGGGTAAGCCCCTGACCCACTCTGGGCCTAAGTCACCCCTAAACTTGGCCCTTTACCCATCTTCAAAAACCAAAGAGCAGGAAATGGTGAGCCCTTTCCCCAACCCCTTGGCTGCCTTCCAAGCCTCAGTTTCCCCCAAAATGAGCCTAAGCCAATCAGATAGCAGAGGCAGGGTTCTGGGCTTTGTGGTCCGACAGTCTGGGGTTTAGTTCCTAGTTCAGCCAAACCTGGGGAGCAGTGGGGTGTGACCTCGGGCCGGGACCTTCACTTCCTGTAGCCTCAGTTTTCCCATCTGGAATATGAGGTGAGATCCAACATGTAGCACTCGAGGTTGCTTAGTAATTGTGGATACTGTTAGTTATACTTTATGGTGGAGCAGGGACTTTTCTTTCCTGACTGTGACCTCAGGTCAAGCCTCTTGTCCATTTCGAGCCTGTTTTCCCCATCTGGAAAATAGAGCTGTGCCCACCAGCCAGAGGCAGACTTCTGTCCTAACACCTCCAGCTCTGACAGCCATGGTGACAGTGATGGATGGGCCCTCGTGGAGTGCAAGAAGGGCCCTCACCCCTATACCCTGAAGCACTAAGGCAGTGATATTTTGGACATCAAAAGGCTTTTTACTAAAAGGATCCATCGAGGATGATGGGTAAATTTTGGGAGGAAGCAGAAGAGTCCGTGTAGGGGTTTGGGCATGGTGACAGCTGATGAAGACTCTCTTTGCAGGAACACCTGGTGGTTGGTCTCCCGTCCCACCCACTGGCTGGAAATCACCACAGCCAGGATTGAATACACCAGAGACATCCTCCTGCATCTAAAAGTCTCAACCCATCCTTCCTGGGACAGGATTGGCTGGGTGTGTAAACAGAGTAATGGGGAGCCCCACAGCCCCCTCAGTGCTGCTTCTTGTGGTGGGCTGGGGGGCTGGGGGTCGGCGAGCAAAGGAAGAAGGCAGGCCGCTGCAGGCAGCGGTAGGCCAGCAGGTGGGGGCCCAGAGCATACAGCAGGTTGCACACGAAGAAGCAGGCCCAGGCATCCTCAGGCACACGGTAGGTGAAGGGTGTGCGCAGGTGCATGGAAGCACCCATGTGGGAGAACTGTGCCTGGTGGCCAGACAGGAAGGGTGGATGTCAGAGGCCAGAAGGGGACTGAAGTCCCAGCATCACTGACATCCCACCCTGGGGCCTTCCAGACGGCAGTGAGGTACAGCCCAGAGAGTCCTGTCCCCATCCCACTGGTTCTGCTGACCTCCCTGTCTCCCCTCTCCAGTCCATCCATATGTCTCTAAATACTCCTGTCCCCACATGTCCTATCTGTCTCTGTCTGTGAGCCTCTCCCCAGCTGCCTAACCAGAACCATCTTCACCCCAACTGTAGGGCCCTGCACCTCATCTCTCCGACCTGAGTCCAGCTCCTCCTCAATCTTCCCCATCCCAGACAGCTGCTCTTGACACAAATCCTGTTGATTCTGCTATAAAGACATCCTTCTGGTCCGTACTGCCCTGGCCTGAGCCCAGGCTTTATTACTTCCCATCAGGAACCCAAAAATAGGCCCCCAGCTCTGACTGGGCCCTTCACTGCTCAAACCCCTCCCATGGCTTCCCATCACCCTCAGCACAAGCCTCCGGCCCCAGAGTTCAAAGCCTTCAGCATCTAGCTGCCAATTTCTCTTGCCTCTGCTTTTAACCACATCATAGACCTGCTAAATCACAGTCCCCCTCTGTGCCTTTCCTTACACTGTTCCCATTCCTGGAATGCCTTTCCCTGCCTGGAGAACTCATCCCCATATGTCAAAGCCCAGCTCCCATGCCCTCACTTCTAGGTAACCTTTCCCCTCTGGAATCCCTCTCAGCCCCTGTTCCTCATTCTCTCCAGTTCTGATCCCACAGGGCCGGGGGAATCTGTGTCTGGCTCTGTCTCCCCAGACCAGGGAATCCTGGGTTACCAGGTCTGGGGCTAGGGCCTCTTGGGGGCCCATCATCACCCTTCCTAAGGTGAGCACAAATGCAGCTGATGGGTAGGCAGAAACTACCCCCCTACATGCCTGCCCACCCACTCACCCTCCCACCTCCCACCTCACCTGGCCAATGGCTCCAGCAAACACCAAGGCCCAGTCAGGCAGCCAGGAGCAACCAGGGAAGATGAGGGCATAGGTGGCCAGGCCGTAAAAAGGCAGAACGTAGAACATAAACACCAGCATCTGGGAGGAGGGAGAGGGGCACGCAGCCTATGACATGAGCAGCTACCCCAGGTGGGTCTCCTGAGACCCCCGAGGTGGGGGCCACAAGGGAGGATCTTGCCAGCCACAGACCCCAGCCAGGATGTGGGCTCTCTGCACATACCACACCTGTGCAAAGTGCTCCTCTATTTCTCTTGGGGATTCCTGCCGCACCCCCAAACACTCCCACTGAGCCCACCCACCTTCCTCCAGAAGTGGCATGTGACCCTGGCCTGGCCATTCATAACATCCCAGACCCCCTCGCGTAAGGGATGGGCATGTGATTCAGGCTGGGCCAATCAGAGCCTGCCTGAGACTTGTGCTTAAGGTCTGGGATGATAAGGGCTCACATTCCTCTGAGGTGGTAAAATGGGGTGAATGGAAGCCTGCAGCTCTCCAGACTGTGTCTGCCACCCCAGAAGGGGACTGCCTGGGAGTGGAGCCATGCAAAGAAAACAGAACCCAGAGACAGCACTATTCTTGAGCTCCTGGATCCAGCCATACCTGAAGACCTGTACTTTTTAGTAGGACAATAAATTTCACATGTGCTTCTAACAGTCTGACTTGTGCTTCTGGTACCTGTTTCAAAGAGGCCCAGTGGACCCTACCCACAGCAGGTCTGTAGTCCTCTCCTCCACCTGCCCTCTCACCTGCACCTTTGGATAAGCCACAGGGTCCCGCAGGTATGGCTCATACTGGTAGATGTAGACAAAGCAGGCATCCGTGGGGCAGTCAAGCACCACCTGGGGCAGACAGACAAACCAACAACCCTCCTTAGACATCCCCCTTACAGGAAGCTTTCCCCCCTCTCCCAGACAGGGCCCACATTGCTTGCTTGGGCCTCTCCCAGCACTCTGACTGGGGATCCACAGAGACTGGAGCTGGGGAGAAAGCTGCAGGGAATGGGGCTTTGTCATGGAACTCAGGCTAGACTTGAAGAACTTTCTTGGATGATCAGACAGGACAGCAGTGGCCTTTTTGCCCTGGATAAAGAAATACATGGGAGAGGTGGGCCGGGGAAGGGAGGCTGGAAGCAGGGGAGAGTGAGGCTGGCCAGTGCAGACTCACCAGGCCCCGGAAAAGGGTGAAGAAGCCAGCGAGGATGAGGTATATGATGAGGGCCAGGTCAGCCGGGCGCTGCAGGAGACCCTTTTTTTGCTCCTCCTGCACCTGCCCCATGAGAGAAACAGAGACAGCCAGTGTGAGAGGTCTGGTATCCAGTAAGCACTCAGTAAAGGTGCCGCCCTTCTTTCCTCATGACCAAGTCTTCCAAGGAGACAAGGAGTTGCTTTAACCAAAAGCAACTCAAATGGTGGTCATTTAGGCACGTTAGGACAAGGCCTGCCTGGGGGCCAGGCACTCACCATGTTGGGGGTGCAGTAGGTTGGTGCCCGAGACTGGTTGAAGACCCTCATGCCGGCCCAGCATGGGACCAACATGTAGGGGATGGCTAGGAAGAAGGCAGGCCGGATCTCTGAGCTGTATTTTCCTGCCATGGTGAGGGAGAGAGGGCATCACTCAGCGAGTGTCCCAGGCCTGGCTGGACCCACTAGCTGGACCATGCCAGAACCCCTGGCTGATGTCCTGATTCATAAATGCCATCCCTGCTTAAGCTCCAATACCTTCTGTGGCTCCTCAGTGACCACCGGATGCTGCGCATGTTCCTTAGCCCGGCCTTCCTCAATGTACCTTCAGAGCACAGGTCCTACGCTACAACGGCTCTTTGCTTCCCATGAATACACTTTGGGTGCTCCCCTGCTGAGCCTCTGTCATGCCATCCCAACATCCTGGATTGTCTCCTCTGCCCTACCTCCCTAGACCAACCTACTAAGCTTTCACTCCCCCCAGGATCCACTCTGAAACTGCCTTTATGTGTCAACAACATTCTGAGCCAAACTCCTGGGGTCAGGGGCCTGGGAGGAAGCAGAATTTGGGCTCTCTCACCTCCAAGAGGAAATAGGGAATAGAGGGGGGCAGGCTGCTGGCCGAGGTGGCTGTGGACAGGCATAGGGAGAGGAGGGGCCTCTGCAGACATTGGGGAGGGGATAGGGAATCCAATGGTGGGGGCTTCCAGGTGCAGGGCAGTGACTCAGCCCAGGTAGAATAGGATTCCCCAAAGTCAAGTCCTTACCAAGAATGTTTCCTGGGAGGAACACCAGGATGCTCATGGTGAAGGATCCCAGCCAATAGAGTCCAAGGTTCCGGTATCTTTTCCTGGGAAGGGAATCAAGGGGTGACCCTGGGCAATCAAGGGTACATGCCCCTCAGTCTCAGAGCCCCAGCCAGGGCTCAGGAACCACCTTGGGCTCCCAACTCTAAGTCCCTCTCAGTTCTGCCCAGGACAGAAGAGACAACAGGAAATTGAATGGGGGAATAAATAGACCCTCTGTCCAAGGACAGAAGTGGCCACCCAGGCACTGTGTCGATACAAGGGAAAACAGCCACCAACACTCACACCTGATGACATTCCCTGGAACCTCCTACCAGCCACTCCAGGCTGGAGCCCTACAGGGTCCTTCTGATTTCCTCTACAGACTCTTCTGGCTCTGCCCTGGCCTGGGACAAAACAGCCACCAACACTCACACCTGATGACATTCCCTGGAACCTCCTACCAGCCACTCCAGGCTAGAGCCCTACAGGGTCCTTCTGATTTCCTCTACAGACTCTTCTGGCTCTGCCCTGGCCTGGGACCCAACCTGAGGACTCGACTTCTCTCCCAGGGCCCAGAAGCCACCCCAACTGCCCCCTGCACCTTCTGTGGATGGCGCCGGCCATGGCCAGGTAGAGGAGGTAGTGGATGGTGCCATCCCAGTAGCAGATGAAGACTCCGTGGGCTGTGCGCAGGTACGGCTCACCCTGTGGGGGCAGGTGGGAGGCTCAGGGGGACGGTGGCATAGGGGGTATCTTCAGCTGCCCCCCACGTACCTCTTTGGTGTAGAAGTCCATGAAGCCCACCACGTAGCCATCTTCCTGGAGAGCTATGAAGAGGTCCACCAGGGAGGTGAAGGCGAAGACCGCGAAGACTGCGGGAGAGAGGGGCGGGGCTGGGGCGGGTGTGGGCGGGGCTAGGGGCAAGTGTGAGTAGGGGTTCGGCATGGGCGGGCTCAGGCCAGGTATAAAATGGGCTTGAAGCAGCAAGTCAGGGGTCAGATTACAGGTAAGGACTCCAGGCACAGTCCTTGTCCTCACCTAACCACAGCCCTGCCTGATTCTGCATGTTTGATGAAGGAGGCACAGCCTGACCCTCAGAAGTCCCTGGTATTATGGGGAGGCACAGTCCCTGCCTTTGGGGGTCCCCAGTCTCATGGGGGAGGCACCATCCCTGTCCTCAGGAGATCCCGGAGTGAGGGGGAAGAATGGTTTTTCAGGGGCTTCTAGTCTGATGGGGGAGACTCAGTCCCTGCTCTCTAGGAACCCCAAGTCCGAAGGGGGAGGATTTTTGAGATTCCCCGATCTAATGGGTGTGTTCCAGTCTCTTTGAGATCTATAGTCTGATGGGAGCTCTTCAAGGGCCCCTAATCTGATTGAGGAGACCCTCCTTCAGTGGCCTCAGTCTGAGGGTAGAGGCCCTTGCCCAGGCAGTCCTCTCCCCCACAACCTCCCACTGACTCACCAGCGTAGAGTGGGTCATAGGAGATCTCACCATGGGACAAGCTGTAGATAGCCACCAAGAGCAGACCCAGGATCAAGGCGCTCATCAATGCCATCCCCAGGGGGCTGTGGAGAGGGAAACCAAGTCAGGGAGGCCAGGCCCAGTGCTGAGGCCTCACCCCACACTCCTCGGTGGGGGAAAGAGCAGACTCTAGGAAGCTCCAGGTGTTGAGACTGAAGCATCTGTTCATTCATCATTGCTGTTCCCTGAAACTGCTCTTTCCCATCAGCAGGCTCTTGCTCAGGCTCTTTCTCCCTTCTGGAAACCACTTCCAGAAGTCTCTTTTCTACCTGGCAAATGCCTACTCATCCTTCATGGACCATCTACATTGCTCCTCCTCCAAGAGGCCCTTCCTGACTCCCCAGAAAGGATTATTGCCCAACTTGGGCCGGGTATAAAAGGCACAGCCATCGACCCCTTCTGACTGTGCCATTTATCCCGTCATTTGCTAATGTGTGTTTGGCTCAGTTTGCTGTAAGTCAGTTAACAACGTCAAGCCCCTTTGTGGCCAGGCCCAGCTCCCATGCCAAAGGGTCTCTAGCACTCAGCTTTGTGGACCTCACTGTCTGAGGCTCCCGACTGTTCCTGGCTAAAGTCCAAATGCTTTCACTAACTCCACCGTACCCCTGCCCTGGTCTGCCCCCACCAACCTGACAAGATAGCCCAACCAGCTGCATAGATAATAGAAGCCAGGTCTCAGCATCCCCCGACACAGGTGGGCAAGCCAAGGCCCAGAGAGGATAGGAGACCTGTCCAGGGTCTCACAGCATGGCTCTGTTCATCACCTCCTCACACTCTCCAGGCCCCCACCTACTCTTGAACCCATCTGCCCTTTAGGATCTCCATCCCGTCTCTATCCGACCAACAGTGACAATTATAGTAATCATATGAGACCACGACACAGCCTTTGCAAGCAATTTGTAAACCTTAACCATAACTATGTGATAAGATCTAGGATTACAGATGAAGAAATTGAGGTTCCCAGAAACAACTTGGCTCACCCAGGGTGCCAGGAGATGGAGACAGGTATTTGTAACCACGGAGCCAGGTCCATGGGCAAGACTCTCTCTACCCCATGGCTTGAGTTGAGCTGGGTTTGAGTGTGAGGGGCTTGTAGATGCCTGGTACCTAGTGCTTGGACCCTTGGGGCTAGGATCTAGGGTCAGATCCCAACCCTAAGGAGGTCATGGCATGCAGGGGAAACTGAGCCTAGGGACAGCGTGAGACAGCCCTGAAGGAGAAGGAAGTCCCAGACCTGAGACAGAAGCTATGGAACAGGGTGTGTGTGTGGCAGCAAGAGCTGGGTCATCTGGGCCTTATCTGGAACAAAACTTTGACCTTTGGTGACTTTGGAGCCTGTGCTGGGCACATCCCTGAGAAAACTCTAGAAAGCCCTCACGGCCCTGCCCTGTGGGGGGTCTGTACTCCTCCACATCCCTTCTCCTCGGGTCCCAAACGTCCCGAGAGCGTCGCCAACCCAGCTTCCAGGCCAGCGGGAAGGGGACTTCCGGTGAGGGGGAATTCTGGCCCAGCCACCATCCTCCAAGGTCGCAGCTGGGCTGGCGGGGGCGTGCCGCCCGCGCGCATCCTCCCTTCGGCCCCGTCAGACCCTTCCCGCCTCGCCCGCCCCGCGCCCCCAGGAGGCCGCCCGGCCCCTCTCCTCACGCACTGCGAGAGCGCCGAGGCGAGGTTGAGCGCGCAGGACACCGGCAGTGCGCCGAGCGACAGCGCCGCGATCTTGCCGGCCGGCGGCGGGACGTCCATGGCGGCGGCGCCCGGACCCCGGC